CTTTGCAGGTATAAAACGTAAAAAGAGGTTTCTAGACTACACGCTGCTTGGATAAAAGCATAGACCCATGATAGCTCCCAGAGCTGGTGGTAAACGTAGCCATGATGGGAAGCTGAGGTGGGCGGAGCCAGCAGCCACAGCTGCTGCAGCTTAAAGCAATAGATTCACAATAAGACAGATTCAGATGTAATAGTTTACAATGTGTGTAAAATATACATAGGCTTGAAAGAGACAAAAAAGGTGATATATAAAGTTATATAAACAAATACATAGTTTTAAAAAATAAAGTCTTTAAAGAGACAGTAAAGGTAGTATAAAAAAATAAGCCACGTAAAAATGGATATTACACAGAGAATCTGGATTGTGTTGTCTTTGGGATTTTTAACTGCAGAAAAACATTTGATTGTAAAAGCTGTTGAGTTATGCCAAAATGTATATTTTAAAGATACCTTGACTTCAAAATTTGGATATAAGGATATATTGCTTTGGAAAAGAGTCTCTTTTGTTTCCACAGAAAGCCAGAGGCTATGGATTTGTTCCAGATTAAGATACATCAGGTTTGACCAGCCAAGACCCCCTGAAAGGTCTCCTATGACACCATGGCCCAGATGATCCAACATCCAGAATCGTTTCAAGGCAACTGGCTCAGACGATGCAGCCTCATGGACTATTCCATAATCCTAAAATTTTCTTTGTTTCCCCATAAGATACAGCGCCCCCCTCCAGCAGGAAGTAGTAAGAGAAGCTACGCCCAAATTCCCAAATTATATGTAATTTTACTTTGTTAAGGTTAAAACCTTACTTTTTGAAAAAAAAAAAAAGCGGGAAGTGCTGTGGGATGTTCTGTATGGCAAATGTGTTGCTGATTGGTCAATAAATAAAACACTGATTGGCCAGTGGCTAGGCAGGAAGTGTAGGCGGGACAAGGAGGAGAATAAAGCTGGGAAGTGGAAGGCTGAGTCAGAGAGACACTGCCAGCCGCCATGATGACAAACAGCATGTGAAGATGCCGGTAAGCCACGAGCCACGTGGCAAGGTATAGATTAATGGAAATGGATTAATTTAAGCTATAAGAACAGTTAGCAAGAAGCCTGCCACGGCCATACAGTTTGTAACCAATATAAGTCTCTGTGTTTACTTGGTCGGGTCTGAGGGGCTGTGGAACTGGCAGGTGAGAGAGATTTGTCCTGACTGTGGGCCAGGCAGGAAAACTCCAGTTACACCTGGTCTTGAAAACAAACAAACAAACAAACAAAAAAAAAACCCTACACAAACAGCAATCTCAGTAATTAACAGTTGAAAATAATTTTTTGAACCAGAAGTAGGTAGATGCCCATAGCTGCTGATCTGCTCATTGTTGTACTGGGGACACTAGAAACTAGGAAACAATATGTAATGAGTAAGTAGACATTTAAAAAAATGAAACAGGGCAGGGCAGAAGAGATGACTCCATGGTTAAGAGGATTTGCTAGGGGGGTTGGGTTTTTGTTTCTGTGTGTTTGGTTTGGGGGTTTTTTGTTTGTTTGGTTTGGTTTTTTGGTTTTTCAAGACAGGGTTTCTCTGTGTATCCCTAGATGTCCTGGAACTCACTCTGTAGACCAGACTGGCCTGGAACTCAGAGATCCGCCTGGCTCTGCCTCCCGAGTGCTGGGATTGAAGGCGTGCGCCACCACCGCCTGACCAGATGTTCTTATAGATGACCTGGGTTTGGGTGCCATGACCTACACTGGTTGTAGTTCACAATAATCCATAATTCCAGTTCTAGGGGGATCTGATGTCTTCTTCTGACCTCCGTGGGCACCAGGCCTGCATACTGTGCACATGCATAGTTACAGAGAAAACACTCATACATACAAAAATTAATCTGAAGCAGCAGCAGCAGCAGCAGCAGCAATCCAGGACTGGAGAAATGGCTTGGCGGTTAGGAGCACTGCTGCTCTCCCCAAGACACAGCTTCCGTTCCCAGTACCCACGAGGTGGCTAAGAATCTAGTGATTACCGTTCTAGGGGGTCTGACATCCTCCTCTGGCCTCCGTAAACACGGCACACAGGTGGTACACAGGCACACATGTACACAAAATATCCAAACACTTAAAACATTTTTTTTAATTTTATAAATGAAACCTATTAGTCTTCGCAGATAGAACCATGCTCTCGGCAAGCTTAAAAGAACTAAAGATAGGATTTTAGAATTAGTAACAGAGTTTAGCAAGCTTGTTTATACCTGGTCAATATGCAGAAGTCAGTTACGCTTCTGCAATCTTTAGAAAATGCAGTATTAATCTTCAGAGTTAATAAAACTTAAAATCAAATATGGATAAATAACCCTACCAAACGAGACTAATTCTCCATCTAAGGACCCATGAAAACATCAATGGAGAGATGTGCTCAGACGTTGGAAGAATCAAAACTATGTGCCGCGGACTGGGTCTCAGTAGGGCCACCAGACCAAGAGAGAAGGGGGGGGGGAAGGTGCTCAGGATAATTGGGATTCGGCGATGACAGACAGACACCAGAGTATGCTGTGAAACTGCTGCAATTTTACTGAACATCAGGTTGAGATTTTATACAATCTTAACAAGGAATTAAGTCCAGGGGCAAAAGGAAAGAAATAGACGCAATCTTTTGTGGTCACACAATGTGGTTTTCAGAATGATTAATCCTTTCAGACAGAGACATGCTGTGGCCTGAACCCTAAGAGCCAGATCACGTACTCAATAACTAGTGATCCATTTCTAGTAATTTATTAAAGACAGTTACAAAGTCCTCACCAAGAGCCTTAGCCCACCTCTTTAGCACAGGTGCTATACCCCTCAATATAGCTGACCTTGTCTGCCTATCATATGTACACCATACCTTTCTGCTTCTAACCAGCCTTTCCATAAAAGGCAACTGATTCCACAACATTCTTTTCCCCCATGATTTACCCAACCAATTCCCTTCATAGTCATAAGCCCCTGTAAAAGGGGGTGGATCTAAGTAATTTCTACTTCTGTGATTTCAACGAGGGGGTGTCCACTATTTCCCATTAATACGGTATTGAATGTACACTCCAACCATTCTTGTGGGAGTTGCCAGTTTCCTAAGTTCTCTTTCTTGTGAGTTTGCATGAGCTGAGTGAGGGCTACCTAACAATCTTTTTACTTTTACATTTTCTTCCTTAGAATCTGTGGGAACCTGAATCATTAGCTCTTTCTTTTCTAATCTATCCATGAGTGCCCCCACTGAAGTAGGGGTTTTTTGTGCTATCTGCCCAAGGGCTTGAATCACTGGGGGCGGTGCCGGTGTAACAGTTGAGGAGTTATCAGGTACGTCAAGCGAGGGTCTACGGGAGTCCAGGCACAGGGAGGTTGTTGTTGTCAGGAAAGAAGAAAGAAGCAGGAGTCTTGCCAACCATCCACGGAAGGCTGGTCTTTAGGGAACAATGTATCCAGGAACCATTGCTCGGGCTGATTGCCAGGGGACCGCGGGGGGGGGGGGGGGGGGGGGGGGGGGGGGGGGGGGGGGGGGCGGCGCTCGAGAGACACGTGCCCCCCTTCCTCGTGACACCACCAGATCGGCATTTGTCACACGGGCGACACCGTCGCAGGTGTGGCAACTATGGCAACATGGAATCTCTCCAAACTGCCTATACCAACTTTTTGTTTGTTTGTTTTTTGGCTTTTGGAGGATGGTTGTTGTTTGTTTGAGGGTTGTTTTTTTTTTTTTTCATTTTTTTTTTTTTTTTTGAGGGGATGAGTTGTTGTTTAGACAGAATCTCTCTACACAGCCCTAGCTGTCCCAGAACTCGCTCTGTAGACCAGCCTGGCCTTAAACTCACAAAGATCCACCTGCCTCTGCCTCCCGAGTGCTGGGATTAAAGGTGTGCGCCACCATGCGCAGACAATCATTTTCTAACATTTGACACCCACTCTAAAATTTCCATAGGAATGCTGTCAGGAGAGAAAGAGACCATCCCTGAAGCAGTGCAGAGAACATGCCCTCCACAGATCGGCAAGAAGACCAAGAGGGGGCTGGAGAGGGGGCTCAGAGGTTAAGAGCACTGGCTGCTGTTCCAGAGGTCCTGAGTTCAATTCCCAGCAACCACATGGTGGCTCACAACCATCTAGGATGAGATCTGGTGCCCTCTTCTGGTGTGTAGGCATACATGCCAGAACTCTGCATACATAATAAATAAATAAATAAGAAAGAAAGAAAGAGAGAGAGAGAGAAAGAAAGAAAGAAAGAAAGAAAGAAAGAAAGAAAGAAAGAAAGAAAGAAAGAAAAAGAGAAAGAAAGAAAGAAAGAAAGAAAGAAAGAAAGAAAGAAAGAAAGAAAGAAAGAAGACCAAGAGGAAGAATAAGGAACTCAGGGGCAAGCTGGTCATGGGGGCACAGGCCTGGAATCCCAGCGCCAGGAGGCTAGCACGGGAAGTTCATCAGTTCATGGCCAGTCTATGCTAACCCATCTTGAACCAACAGAGAAGAATCCCAGTGCAGTGGCACACACCCATAACCCCAGAACTTGGGAGATGGAGCAGATGGATCAAGAATTCAAGATCAGCTGCCAGGTGTTTGTGTCACATGCCTTTAATCTCAGCACTTGGAAGGCAGAGGCAGGCGGATCTCTGTGAGTTCGAGGCCAGCCTGGTCTACAGAGCGAGTTCTAGGATAGCCAGGGCTACACAGAGGGACCCTGTCTCGAAAAATCCAGAAAAAAAAAATTCAAGGTCGGTCATTTCCCAGGAACCTGGGTATGCACCTGGCCAGAATCTACCTGGCCAATATTTAATTTAAACTTGCTTCAAATTTGGTTAAAAAAATAATAATTTATGGTCATGCCTATGGGGGAAGGTGCATGCCACCAACCTTGATCAGCTGAATTTCATCCAGAGAATCCACACAGCAGAAGGAGCAAACTGACTCCTGCAAGTTGTCCTCTGACCTCCACACACACTGTTGTACATGGACACCCTGTCTTAGTTACGGTTTCTATTGCTGAAGAGACACCACGACCACAGATGCTCTTATAAAGGAAATTTTTAATCGAGGTGGCTCACAGTTTCAGAGGTTTAGTCCATTATCATGATGGAGGGATATGGCAGCATGCAGGCAGACAGGGTACTGGAGAAGGAACTGAGAGATCTATATCTTGATCTGCAGGACACAGGAAGTGAACTGTATGTCACACTGGGCGTAGCTTGAGCATAGGAGACCTCAGAGCCCGCCTCCACAATGTCACACTTCCTCCAACAAGGCCATACCTCCTAGTAGTGCCACTCCCTATGAACAAGCATTCAAACACATGAGTCTATGGGGACCATACTTATTCAAACCACCACACACCCATACACACATAATAAACAAATAAAATGTATTTTAGAAACTCAAGACTGGGGGAGAGGTTATTGAGATGGCTCAGTGGATAAGGACACTTTCTGCCAAGCCTGATGACCTAAGTTTGATCCACAGGACCCATTTGAGAGAAGGACAGGACTAAAATTATCCTCTGTTTAATTATTTATTATTATTATTATTATTATTATTATTATTATTATTATTATTATACATTTTAGTTAGGGTTTTATTGTGGTGAAGAGTCACCATGGCCATGGCAACTCCTTATTTATTTATTTATTTATTTATTTATTTATTTATTTATTTATTTATTTTGGTTTTTTGGGACAGGGTTCCTTTTGTGGCCCTGGCTGTCCTGGAACTCTCTCTGTAGACCAGGCTGGCCTCAAATTCAGAGATCTGCCTGCCTCTGTCTCACAAGTGCTGGGATTAAAGATGTGTACCACTACCACCACCCAGCTTTACCATGGCAACTTTTTTTGACTGTTTCATTTATTTTTTATTTTATGTGCATTGATGTGTCTGTGTGTCAGATCCCCTGGAACTGGAGTTACAGACAGCTGTGAGCTGTCATGTGGGTGCTGGGAATTGAACTCAGGTCCCCTGGCAGAGCAGCCAGCGCTCTTAACCGCTGAGTCCTTTCTCCAGCCCACCACGGCAACTCTTATAAAGGAAAACATTTAATTGGGGCTGGCTTACAGTTTAGAGGTTTAGTCCATTACCATCATGGCAGGAAGCATGGTGGCATGCAGGCAGACATGGTGCTGGAGGAGCTAAGAGTTCTACATGTGGATCCACAGGCAGCAGAAAGAGAGTAACACCGGGCCTGGTTTGAGTATCTGAGACCTTAACGTCCACCCCCTGGTGACACACTTACTCCAACAAAGCAATACCTACTCCAACAAGGCTACACCTCCTAATAATGACAGTCTCTATGAGCCTATGGGGGCCATTTTCATTCAAACTACCACAAATGTATTATTATTAAATGTAAAAAAAAGAAAGAAAGAAAGAAAGAAAGGAAGGGAGAGAGAGAGAGAGAGAGAGAGAGAGAGAGAGAGAGAGAGAGAGAGAGAGAGAAAGAAAGAAAGAAAGAAAGAAAGAAAGAAAGAAAGAAAGAAAGAAAGAAAGAAAGAAAAGAGAATTCAAGACCAATCTCTGTTACGTAGTGAGTTTGAGGCCAGCCTGCATGAAACTCTGTCTCAAAAAACAAACAAATAAAAAAAACTCAGCAACTAAAGGACACCAGATCTCTAATAAGCAGCTCTTTGGAACAGTGGAAACAGATGGGGCATCAATAAATGATACTAAGACAGTTTCCATATTGGAAAAAAAAGTCAAAACTCAAAGAACCAGGGGCTGGAACTGGCTCAGTGAGATTGGAAGTGAAAGCATCGAGGACCTGCGTTCAGATCCCCTGCACCTCCTTCAAGTCAGACACTGTGCCATGTGTCTGCAACCCCAGAGCTAGGGAGGGCAGACAGGTGGATCCTAAGGGCTCACAGCCAGCCAATCTCACCAAAATAGCTGGCTCCAGTTTCAATAACTAAAGTAGCGAGGCTGGAGAGATAGTTCAGCAGTTAAAAGCACTGGCTGCTCTTCCAGAGGTTTTGAGTTCAATTCCCACACCCACATGGGGCTCACAACTGTGTAACTGTAGTCCCAGGGGATCCAATGCCCTCTTCTGGTGTGCTGATGTACATGCAGACAAAACACCCATATACATAAAATAAACCTTAAAAAAAAAAAGTAGAAAGTAATAAAGAAATATTGAAGATAGAGCGACCTCTGGCCTCCACATACACACACCACACAGACACAGACACACATTGAAAACAGATACGACACCAGGTGGTTGTGGTACACACCTTTAATGCCAGCATTAGAGAGGCAGAGGCAAGCAGATGGTGAGTTCAAGGCCAGCCTGGGTTACAGAGCAAGTTCCAGGACAGCTAGGGCCATACAGAGAAAGCCCATCAAGAAGAAGAAATGACTAGTCATTTACTGAAGGAAAGAGCCAGGGGCTGCGGAGATTGCTCAGTGAGTAAAGTGTTTGCGGTATAAACATGAAGACCGGGGTTTGGGTCCCTAGAACACATATAAAAGTCAGGTGGGCATGTTGGCCGGCCTGAAATCCCAGTATGGGGGAAGAAGAGACAGACGAACCCTGGGCAAGCTGTCTTAAACAGACTAGCCAAAAATAGGCAAACTCTGTGTTCAGCAACAAACTCTTCCTCAACATATAAGATGAAGAGTGAGTGGGTAAGGTACTCAACACCAACCTATGTATATGCACCTACCTACACGTGTACACCCCCTACACACACGTGCCTACAGACATACAAAACATGCATACACACATGTACCACACACAGATATACATACCCATAAAGTAAAACCAGAAAACTAAGCAAGTGCATGATATTATACTCAACTTCAGCAATCAAAGAAACACATGAGAGAGAATGACCACTTAACATTCAGTCAATGGCCTACAGAAGCTGAAGCGTACTGAAGGGAATAAGTGATTCCAAGAGGAGCTTGATGGCATCGGGCTGCCACTGTCACCCTGACAAGAGATTATACACCTCACGTCCACTGACCTGATCTGACTGTATAGCCAAGTCACTGTTCCAGAGCAGGACTTTTGTTGCACAAATCCTAAATAGTCTTATAATAAAAACCCGGAGCCAGATAGTGCGGTAAATGCTGAAAGATCAGAGGAAACAAGCCACAGCCGCTTCTCACCTCGCCAACTCCTCAGCCAAAGAGATCCTGTCTCCATGAATCCTCAGACTGAATGCCGCTGAGTCCTCAGCCAAAAAGATTTCATTCCTATCTCCTCCGACCTTACATTCCTTTCTCTGTCCAGGCATATCACTTCCTGTCTCCACCTTCCTACTGCTGGGATTAAAGGGTGTGACTCCCAAGTGCTGGACTAAAGGTGTGTGCCACCACTGCCTGGCTGTTTCTCTTTTAAACTGGATTAATCTCATGTGGTCCAGGGTGGTTTTGAACTCACAAAGATCCAAACAGATCTCTGCCTCCCAAGTGCTAGGATTAAAGGTGTGTGACACCACTGCCTGACCTCTGTGGCTGCTCTGTCCTCTGATATTCAGGCAAGCTTTAGTTCTTAGATTACAAATATCACCACAGACTTTCTCTGGCCTCAGAGAACCAGAGATAGCTTGAGTGTTGGTCTCTGGGAATCAGACAGAGAAATAGGTACACACACCTCACTGGACATGGGATAATGTACTTCAGTCAGAACAAGACTCACAACGTGAGTCTTTTAAGACCTAACAGTGCAGGCAGGGTGGGAAAACACAAAGACTTGTCTTAGCTGGAGCTGCAGTTCCTGAAATGTGTGCTAAGGCATCCCAGGATGCCACAGTGAATTCTCAGGGAACACTGCAAGGCATTTGGGGACAGGGGGATGCTTTGAGACAGTGTCTCAGTGTGTAGCCAGCCCTGGCTGGCCTGGAACTCACTATGTAGACCAAGCTGGCTTGAACTCACAGAGATCCCCATGCCTCAGCCTCCCGAGGCTGGGATTAAAAGTCTGTGCCATCACACTTGGCTATTTTCGTTTTAAGGGAAGGTAACATGGGGATATACGGTCTGTCAGATACCTCCTGAACAACCTGAGAGAGCTCAGGGTTCCAACACTGGGCACTCTCCCTCGGTTACCTCTTTAACAAACTGGGTTGGCAGCCATTGCTGTGATAAGAAAACAAATTCTAGGCAAAAGCCAAAGCAAATTAGAAAGCCCAGATGATACACTCAACCAAATTAAAGCTTGAAAGTGGACCCAGAATCCTTCCAATAAGCAAGTGCATTAAGAACTAAACCAAGGGTTTGTGTCTTTCACTCATTTCCAACTGTAATTTTTTTTTTTTCTTTTGAGACAAGGTCTCATGCATCCCAAACTGGCTCCAACCTGCTATGTGGCCCGAGGACAACTTTTAACTTCTGATTCTCTCGCCTCCACCTTCTGAGTGCTGGAAGTAGACACGTGCCGCCGCATCCAGCTTACCAGGTGCTGGGAACAGAACCCAGGACATACATGCTAGGCAAGAACTCTACCAGCTGAGTTCCAGCTCCACCATTAACTTCCTAGGACAGCTGAGGAATTCCTGTGTTGTCTGACCCAAACACATCAATAGAATGGTTAGGTCTTTCTTTTGTTGGTCTGTGTGTGTTTGTGTGCACATGTACACATGTAGAGGCCAGAGATCAAGACCAGGTGTATTCCAGTTCGGTTCCCCACCTTGTTTTCTGAAACAGGGTCCCACTGAGCCTGCAGCTCACCAATTGACTAGACTGGCCAGCTAGCGAGTGCCTCGGATCCTCTTGTCTCGTTTCTAGTATCTGCTTTAGAGGCATGACTCCAAACCCAGCTTTTCACATGGGTTCTGGGGACCTAAACTCAGGTCGCCACACCTGCATAGCAAACACTTTGCCCACTGAGCCATCTCCCAACCCTCTACTTGACCAAAGGATGTCACCAGGAAACTACTGAGGCACACACGGACACTACTGTGAACAGAGGAAGCTGAGACCTCCAGGCCTGCAACAAACAGCAAGGAGCCGTGGAGGGCAGCTGACCATCACTGCTGTGTCCCTCAGGTGTGTGTGGGTGGGAGGTGACACTGACTCATCTAGTTCCTGGCTCCCTGGCTCCCTTCCCAGGGCTTCGGAGGCCTGACGGTTGTCCCAACCACATTCATTGTCCCTATCACCACATCACATGGTCCCTAGAGTACAATGGTGAGGCAGGGGTAGAGTGGTTTAGGGAAATCTCTGGTCCACAAAGAGGAAGCAGGGTTGCACACAGACCGCACTGGAAGAGTCTGGCCCACACCCTCTCTGAAATCAATAAGAGCTCCCTTGACTGCCAGGCACTGTGGTGCTCTGGCTCGCAGGTCCTTTCTCTTAGGATAAGAGTATGGGTACGACCATCACAAGGCTGGCCTAATCTAACAGTCACTTCCTGCCTGTAAAACCTCAGGTGACACCCCCGTCGGTCCCTCTGACCTCATTTTCCTAGCTACTGCTTGTGGGCAACCAGGGCTCAGGCCTCAGACTTGGATCTTGGCCTCATCCCTCCCAGTGTGGTCCCATCCACACCAGTGTTCTCACCTGTCCTCTAGTCCCAAATTCAATTTGTGTAGCTTAACTGCCTGCCATGCACTCCACTCAAATGTCATGGTGAAGGTACCAAAGCTGGGCACCAGGGCACGGAGGCAGGAGTCGACACTGCTGAGCTTCACTAAGAGCGGATGAGAATGTTGGTTCTGTTGAGTTGTAAGACCCTATTGTAAGTACCCAGTAATTTTTTTTTCCTGCAAATGAGCAAAAGCAGGTATGGGCCACAGACCTTTGAATGGCAGGAAGACCCTTCCTGGAGGACTGGCAGCCTAACGCAGAGAGCTGTCTACCAGGCAGCCGCTTCTCTGAGAGCTGGTGGCACTACTCTCAAAGCAGCTGGCTGTGCTGGACACTATACTATCACTCTGAGAATCTCTGACTCCTAATCCTGTCCCAACTACTCTGTACAACCCCACCCAAGCGAGATCCTGAAGTCATTCTCACTCATGATGGGAAGAGGGATGTCTCCGCAGTAATTCAGCAAGAAGCCAGTGATGTCTGCGCTAGGTCCTCTGCATATACATTAGGGTTGTGTAGCTTGCTCTTGTGGGACTCCCAACAGTGGGGGTGGAGTTGTCTCTGACTCATTTGCTTGCTCGCTCTTGGGACCCTTTTCCTCCTACCCAGTTGCCTCGCACGAGGTATGTGCCTAGTGCTAGTGTAACTTGTCATGCCATGTTTGGTTGATTTCCCCAGAAGGCCTGCTCTTTTCTGAAGGGAAATGGAGAAGTAGATATGGGGGAGAAGGGAAGGGGGGAAGGGACTAGCAGGGTGGAGGGAGAGGAAACTGTGATCAGATTGTAATATATGAGATAATAAATTTTTTTTAAAAAGCCACTGGGGTTGGGGATTTAGCTCAGTGGTAGAGCGCTTGCCTAGCAAGCACAAGGCCCTCAGCTCGGGGATGGGGGGTGGGGGTGTGAGCCAGTGATTGGGAAACTGGGAGCTGTGCTGATTGGTGTAAATAGAATCCTCCCATTAACATGTCCAACATGTCCTACACCCCTCCTGGCTATATAACCAGGCTGCTCAGCCAGGCTGCTCAGCTTTCTCCAGTCCACGGGGAGACATCTGAGATGCCCCCTGGTGCTACCCTAGGCCCAGCAAAGGCTTCCTCAGAATAGTCTTTTATCTACTCCTCAGCAGTGTAGGCTGATCGGGTAACACTCACAGTGGCATCAGTGAGGACAGCAGAACAGAGGTGGAAGGTGATGGGTGACAGACCCAGGCCCGTCACCCAGGCCCGCCACTAGAAGAGGCCTTGGGATTACCCAAGGGTGAGAGCTGCAATGCTACCTTGCACTGCCTGCCTCTACCACTAGCTACTGCTCAGAGCTGAGGCACTGCTGAGTGCTGGGTTGCAGGCAATAATAAGCCAGGGCAAGATTCCTCTAGCCCGAGTGAGCGGCTGGATCTGTCAGTCTCTGGCTCCTGAGGCCTGGACCCATGCACCTCTAGTTCCCAGGGCTTTGAGCCACAAGCTTGAGTCTATCGGTCCATCAGGTTTCAGCACTCATGAGCCAAGGGTTACTAATGCTAGAACTACTCATCTACTCTGATTTCCATGAAGTAAATGACCCTAGCTAGCTAATTGGTTAACAGCAACTGCCAAGGTCCCCATGATTAAACAGGAGCCAGCTTCTCTCCTAAACGACACCTAAACATCTCCTTGGCCAAATTTGGATGTGAACAGGACACAGAAGAGGCTCTCCGTGTCCACACAGGTACACATGGTCCTGACCTGCTTGCCCAGGTTGAATGACCCACACCATGAGGACAAAGCTACATACAGCATCTTCACGTGATGCTGCTGTCTGGAGTTATGATTTTTCTTTATAAGGCAAGGTTGATATACCCAAAAACCAGATGTGATATACATGTTATGAATCTATAAAGTCAATGTTCAAGAAGCCCTCAGCAGACCTCTCCAGCACCCACACCTCCCCTTGCTCCAGCACATTCTATGAATGAGGTTATTGTGCGGGTCTTTTTCTGGCCAATTTATGTCTGGGTTTTGTCTTCTGGTACTAGGTACATCTTCAGTCTTGTTTTATTATTTATTTTACGGCCTTGTTAAATGTCATACTGAAATATGGGGTTCTTTTTCTCTTTTCTTTTTGGCTTTTGAGACAGGATTTCTCTGTGTAACAGGTGTGGTTGTCCAGGAACTTGCTTTGTAGACCAAACTGGCAAACTCAAGAGACCTGCCTGCCTCTGCCTCCCCAGTGCTGGGACTAAAGGCATGCATCACACCTCATGTAGCTTCAAGACAGTTTTTACATTCAGGATTGCATCATCCTTGGCTTCTCACAGGGTTGTAGGCATTTCTGGTTCCTGGAGTTATGCAGGCATTTCTGATTCCTGAAGTTATGCACGCTGTTACAGGGTGGTCCCTGCCAGGCCTTTTGTGCACATACCATTAATTCTCTGGGACAGACCCAGAAGTGGTTCTTCCAATCCATTGAGAGCAGTCCTTTACCAACCCAAGGCAGTGTCTTAGCACACCCTTCCAGCCCGTAGCAGAAGCCTTCTTCCCTTTCACCTGGTTGCCATGAAGATGGCATTCGGCCTACTTATCAGGCATTCTCGGTTCCTGTCTTACACTCAGCTGTCTTTCATGATTGATATCCTGTTGCTCATCTCTATACCAAACCATTTACAAATGTAGCTAACACTCCCAGCCAAACTGTCTCCCTCACCAACACCCCCAACCAAGAAGATGGAGACGGAATCCAAATTCACACAAGATAGACAAGTGTTCTACCACCGGGACACATCCTATCATATCATCTTTTAATAAACAGAAATTTCTAGCTTTGATAAGAGTTGAAATCACCAAACTTCCCCTCATAGTCAGCATATTTTGGTGTCAGGAAACCACCTCTGGTATTCCCCACGACCTCAAGCAATGGGGGGGCTTGTCTTCGCATACTAGGTTCCCTTGGGTGGGAACCCAAGAAACAGATGGCATGTCCTCGCTGGTTTCAGAGCAGGGCCCACTGTCCCCCTGCTGGCCTCCAATGTGCCGTGGGTGGCCAGATCTTTAGTGTTTGTGTCAAGTACTAGATTTTCCTGACCTTAAGATCAGGTTGGGGGTGTTAGGGACAATGTGACCACTCTTCCTCAAAGTCAGGGAGGAGAGTGTCGGTCAGGTGGCCCATAACGCCCAGTCTGTTAGGCTGCAGGTAAAGGACCCTGGAGCACCATACATCATCAATTTGTGAGCTTGCCCTAGGACTTCAGGGTCCACCAAGGATGTGGTCAATTGACACTTGGTTCTACTCCTACTTGACTGTGTGGGAGCTCAGGACACAGAACAGTGAGACCACCAATGTGAGCTATTTCAAGCCCTTATATGTGGAAAAACTGGTACTGAAGTCCTTCCCAAGTGACAATGTCTAACAACTTGACCAAGAATGGGTCCCATGGTTGAGCCCCCAAGAGGCTCTTTCCTTGACATGGCCCTCAGACCCTTGAGTCCCACAGAGACAAACAATGCATTCGTGTACACGGAATTCTGACTGGAAATGATTAACTCTGCCGAACAAACAGAGAAGTGACAGCTGGGAGCACTGATCTGCATTTGGATTTTTTTTTCCCCTGAGACAGGGCTTCTCTGTGTAGCCCTGGCTGTCTGGAACTCGCTCTGTAGACCACACTGGCCTCAAACTTACAGAGATCCCTCTGCCTCTGCCTCCCAGGTGCTGGGATTAAAGACATTCACTGCCACCACCCAGCTGAATTTAGATTTTTTTTTTTTTTTTTTTTTTGGTTTTTCGAGACAGGGTTTCTCTGTGTAGCTTTGCGCCTTTCCTGGAACTCGCTTTGGAGACCAGGCTGGCCTCGAACTCACAGAGATCCGCCTGGCTCTGCCTCCCGAGTGCTAGGATTAAAGGCGTGCGCCACCACCGCCCGGCACATTTAGATTTTTTAAGGTCAAGTTCCAAAGGGCCACTGGAAATCCTATAGCAGGGCAGTTTTCAGAGGCAGGAAGCATAAGCGGACTTGTTTATAGCCCAAATCAAGGCCAGAAGGTACAGCAGAGGCCCAGCAGCAGGCAGGAGGATCCAGTGAGTCTAGGAGCTACCATCACGAAAGTTAGGAAGGACCTGTTAGACACTGGTCCTCCAGAAGTGTGCTAGGAACAGTCACTGGGACAAACTAGCATGGTATCCTGCCTCCAGGGCCAGAGGCCACCTGCACCAGAACTGTCACCCCAGACGTGAGCTGTCACTCTTACCACACACTAGGCAAGCAGGAAAACCCCGAGACAATGTTCTAGTTGAGCGTCCAAGGTGCCCAGGGTCTGGTAGTGGCCTCAGGCCTGAGCTACCAGGAGGCTAGAGGTTGCCTAGTGGGACCTACCACCTGTCCAGTGTCTGGTCAGAGTTTGGAGCTGGGGATAGGAAGGAAAGCAGGGCTAGAGACCACGGGACCAGCCTGAGCCCGCTGGCTGGGAGAAGCCTGGGCTAGGAGAGCCATCCCACCAGGCTGTGGGTACATCCTGGACACAGGCCGCTTTGTGAGACCTGAGCTTGCCTGGCAGCCTTCAGAACAAAGGCCTTTCTGTCTACACTGCAGCTTCCCTCCTCCTCTCCCCCAGGCAGAGCCCCCAGGGCCCCCATCCAGCTCCCCACCACACACACACACCAGGCACAGCCATGGCCCAGTACAGGAGGCGTCCAGCCAGAGTCTAAGAAGGAGGTGCAGGGAAACAACCAGGGCCGTTCCACTCAGGGGAGGCCCAATACCTCCTGCACTGTGGGGCATGTGTGATCTCAGCACGGTGCCAACCATGCACCACCTACATCCCAGTGTCCCAAGAGGAAGTTAAAGGGACAGTGGAAGAGGGCAGCAGCCTGGTGTCCCCAGAGACAGCTCTACCATGTATATACAGGTCCCCTCCAAACGTCTCAGGAGGACCAGCCTATGGTGACTCCAAAACTGTAGACAGAAAGGGCTCTGGCCCTGGAAAGAATACATGGCCCGGACCTCTGCTCCCATGCCAGCCCCAGTCTGTTCCTCTGAGACCCTACAAAGCCCTCTACACAAGTGGGCACATCTTGAGGTCCTCAGTGTCCAGGAGCCAGAATCCAAATCAATCCAGGCAGAGCACTAGCCATCCTGGCCAGCTCCTGCCGACACTGATTCTGCAGCTGATGCAGCACTTTGGTCAGACAGGCCTCCTGGGCGCTCAGTGTCCTGATCACCTCGGCTGCCTGCAGGCCTTGGGGCCTTGGTGACTCATCCTTACATCTCACCAGTCGATGGGGTCTTTGTGGCTGGACAGGGTTACTGGATGGCTCCCAGGACCCCTGCAGGGCGACCAACTCCTGTTCGACAGCCTCCTGCAAGGCCTTCCTTGTGGTGCTCCACTCTGGCCCCTGACCTAGGCCTCCAATCTGTATAAAAGAAGATACAGAGGCTCCTGAGCCAAGGGCAGCTCTGTTCCCAGGATGACAGGTCCAGGTGCTCCCAATAACCTCGCAACTCGAGAGCTCTAAGACAAGGTATTAGCCCATGCATCATTTCCACCATAGAAAGCCAGGCCACGCCGGAACCAGTACAGAAGGCCTGGCTAGCCCAAAAATGTTTCACCCTCACAAAGCCCCTAAAACCCATGCCAGCAGCAGCTGGGACACAGGGACCCAAAACTCAGGGCATCAGGATCCCTAACCTCAACCTCCAGGGCTCCTGTCTCAGGCCTGCTAGCTGCAGGACCGCTGGGCAGTTTCTAGCCCACCACGTGCCTTAAGGCCCTTTGGAACTCAAAGGAAGACTCCCAAGGACACCCACTACTCCAGGGGTCAGTGCAGCGTCCCCCACCACCCTGTTCCACCTTTCCCCTTCCTGCTGCTGTCCAGGAGCGGAGCACATGACTTGCCCTGACCCAGGGGACGCAGGGTACTCCCTCTAACCCTTAGGGTAGTCCCCATCCAAAGACCCTGTGGGCAGCAGGCCTGGGGTGAAGACCACACTGATGAGGGCTTCCCAGCCACTAACCCACTCCAAAGACCCCAGAAAGCTACCTTGAGTCCTGGGCGCTATGCTGAATGGACTCTGCCCTCACTGTTCTAAAAAAACAAACATGACCCAGGATAAAAGCAGGCCGCACTCCTGGGGTAGTAGTTGCTGTGGGAGAGGGGAGGAGACCTCTGGCTCAACCACAGCCTCCTCAGTCTGTGGCATGCCAGCCTCTCTCGGATGGATAGTGTGGGAACACGGAGGATGCCCCCGATTTCGAGGAGAGCTTCAAGGAAGAGCTTAAGGGCGGCCTGCCTGCAGCTAACATTAAAATGCTTCCCAAAAGGAGAACTGACAGACATGGCAGTGAACGATGTAAGCTACCAGGCACAGCTGGGGAGGGCCGCTGGGCAGGGGCTGTGTGGCTGACCAATAGGCAGTGTGCACGGAACGGGGATACAAGGACAGGCACTGCTGCACAGGGTTGCCCACCTCTCTGTGGGAGACCCTGGACAAAGTCTGAAGGTGGCAGTGAAGGACGGCAGGATCCCTTCCCTGCAGCCCCCTGCTGTTGGAATTTGCTGTCCAAGTGTATCGCCATCCAATTTAATCCAAATAAGTAGAGTAATTCATCTAGAGACTTAGTCAAATGGTTAACCCAGTCTGGGGGGTGGGGGCAGTAAGAGGCAGGGCGGGAGGATGGGTCGGGAAGGGTGGGCGAAGCAGCTGCCTAGGAGCTCACCTGGGCTTCCCATGCCGCCCGCCGGGTCTCAGTCACTTCCCGCAGCTCCTCCTGCAGGGCCTGTAACTCTTGCTTTACCAGCTCCAGCTCACTAAGCCCGCGTTCAGAGATCATGGGCAGGACTGTGGGCTGGGAGGTCACAGCAGGACTCTCCGACAAACAGGCATCCAGAACTGTATCCTGCAGAGACCCCGGTGAGATGGTCAGGGACAAGCCCAGGTTTCAAGTGGGGACAGAAGACGCAGGGGTAATGGGGCAGTGGTAGCATTCCCAGGTCCTACTGTGGACAGGGCAGCTCCTTAGCACGCCAGGGAGCACAAAAACCAGATCTCTGGGAGAACGAGGAGTAAGGACCAGCAATATGAGGCCTCCACTGAGGACCAGCAGATGTCCTGAGCAGAGCATCCCTTGGAGTCCTCCATCTTCCATCTTCCAAACTCTACCACCAATGAGCCTGGGACTCCTGGCCAGGGCCGGGGTAGGGGAGTGGGGGGGAGTGGGGGGGAGGGCGGGACAGGGAAGACTTCCTCACCATCCACTGCCAGAAGACCAGCTCACAGTGCCGCCACTCCAGAGCTGCCCCCAGGCGCATGTTCTCAATCTCCAGTGTCTGCAGAAGCTAGAGAAAAAGACACAGCTGGGCCAGACTGCCCACTGACCACCTCCTGAGCCAAGCTCTAGTCCAGGGGCCTTTGACCAGGGTGCTCTGCCCAATATTCCACTGACTAGAGGCTGTCCCAAAGGCTGCGTAAATGAGAAGGCCCAAGGCTAGGGAGGCCTCTGAGCCGTCCCATGTAACTTTGGGAAACCCCAAAGGTAAGGAAGAGTTTTTAAGTGATGGGGATTTGTGCATAGGACAGGGGCATGGGACGGAGATGAGACATGCATAAAAGGGAAGGACAGGGCCAGACCAGAAGATAACCTCTGCCTTCCCTCCCTCAGCAGAGCAAAGCCTGCTAGTCTTGCACTAACCATTGTGCATCAGAGACAGAGCAATCCCCATACTCTGATCTCCCCTTCCTACGGAACATCCACCGACTGGCTTAGCGCCAGAAGCCACTAGCTCCTTGTCTCCCTCCCTTCTAAACACAGATCACCCAACACACCTGACCCTCCTAGAAGACAAAACGCTTAGTAATCTGTAAACTGAGGTGCCGTTGTCTAGTCAGAGGCCCAACCCACACAGAACGTAAGTGCTCCCCTCTTGACACCTGTATGGGGGACCCAGAGAGAGGACCCCTGCAGAAGACAGCACATGCCAAGCCCTCTGGACCTAAGACCCCACCCCACCCCTGGCTCCACAGAGAATGCAAGAAGGGTCCATGGCCTAAGAACCTGGGGAGAGACCTGAATGCTGGCCAAGGCCGGGCCAACGGGACAAGCACAAGAGAGACAGGGGCATCAGAGCTGCCACTTAGCCATGGAAGAGGTGGGAGAGTGGTGAGAGATGTAAGGAACCAGACCAGGGTGAGGAGGGCACAAGCACCAAAGGGCAAAGATCCAACCACAGGCAAAAGGCACCGAAACACACCATTAGAAGGGCAGGTAAGACAGCCTCTAAGAACAGTCCCCAGGAGGCTCAGTGCCCCTAGACTGTGGGGTGTGGGTGTGATGGAGGAGCAAGTAAGGCCCTTCACCTTCCCATGCTCCACCCTCAATTCTGCATTCTCCTGATGCAGCCCCCTCCCTGAACCTCCTCCCCAGCAGGAACAAGGACACAGAGGGTGCAAACAGAAGGCCGTGGACTCCACAGCGACCAAGGGAACTGACTAGTGATGCAGCAACATTCCGGAAACTTCTGGGACCTGTCTGTGGGTGGACCAGATCCAGGTTTTAGCCGGCACCCCAACAAACACATGGACAGAAGCTGATCTGTGGCCTTGGTCCACCTAACCACTGCTGTCCAGTCCTGTATCAGCAGAGACCAGATTCTGAGACACCCCTAGAGTGGCCCCACAGCCAAGTCCTAGGCAGTGCCAGACCGAGCATGGCAGGCCTTTGTTATGATCCAAGGGGTTCAGATCCAAAACAGCAGGATCTCCATGACACAGGACAACAACAGGATATCCAAGAGGAACCACAGTGAGAGCCCACTATCAGTGGTTAGCAGAAACCAGAGGCCTCGAGCCAGACCAATGACTCCAGGCAACGAACACTTGCAAGTAAAGATGAATGGACTAAAGGGTAAGCTGTGTGACTCAGCGGACCACACCACAGCCTCCACGGTGAGATTCTTCTTCTTTTTTGTTTTTGTTTGGTTTGGTTTGGTTGGTTGATTTGGTTTTTGGTTTTTCTTTTAAATTTGGTTTTGATATGAGGGGGGAGGTTGCAAGGGCAGAGGGCAGATTTGAAGAGACAAGATCAGTGGGATCAGAATGCATGATGTGAAATCCACAAAGAACAAAAGTAAAAAAATAAAAGGTGTCAGAGCCAAGGGCACATACGGACCTTCAAACGTTGTCTCAGCCCCTCAAGGTCTGGCCCAGCCCCGCATTTATCCAGGGATACAGGTCCAGCTGGTACCAATGGCCAGACACTTTACCAGGTGAGTACTCTTGGCTCATAGCAGGGCATAACAAATCACCCAGAGCACAGAAGCCCAGATCTGGAATCTGCCAACTAGCCTTGTGATATGAGCCTCGGAAGACAACAGAAACCATGGAAACCAGCGTTCTAGCTATCTGTCCCTCACCCCATGATCCTCCAGTCCCACCTGCCTGGCCATAGGACAGGCCTTTGATAAGGTGAGGAGTCCAGTCTTGGGCTGCAGAAGGAAGAGGCAAAGAAAGGAGCTGGGCCTGGAAGAAGGGGTCATCCAACCTGAGCTCCAGCTCAGTTGCAATACATGCCCGATGCCAACGGCCAGCCAACCACTTGGGATGGTCTATAGTCCAGCCCCTAAGTGATGACCAGTGCTAGACCTGTCCTGTAAACCTCAGAGATAAGCTGACCAGAAGGAAGAAACCAGTGATAGATAGTTTCTATGTGGGAGGAACTGAATATCCTGGGAGAAGCTGGGGATGGGGCCAACACTGGCACTCTTCTCAGCCTCAGACAGAAGGCAATGTCTGCCTGAGGCCACTTCATCACTGGGTCTCAAGGCCTGCGATCCTCCAGGTCTGTGTTAAGATTTAGGTCTATCTGGGAACATCAGGAGCCCATTGCCTAGGGCAGTCATGCTTGGAAAGAACCAAATGTCCCCTAGGCAACAGAGCAGGACCGAGGCCTACAAATATCCAGGGCCTGTACATCGATCTACCTCAGTAGACTTCCCCACACAGACCCCTGAGTCTAGCCCCAGGCTCTGAAGAGCAGCTATCCCCACTCATACTCGGCCTTTAAACACCTCCAGCTACAACAGGGAGAGCTGGTAGCTCGTTTCAGACCTGAGATCACTGTTCCTCCAATCCAGTGGTCCCCTCCTGGACACCGTATCCCTCCGACCCTGACCATGCTGGACAAATAACAGACACACACAACACCTAGTCTGCCTTCCTGGATAGGTGGGCGATCAACGGGACAGGGACAATCCTAAGGGACACACTGGTCACCCACAAATACCCAGAGACATAGAAGTCAAAGCCTAACACCAACCCAGGTGCTCCCCAACAGACCACACCCCACCATGGCAACACCCACTCCAGCACCCTGCCAACCCTCACCTGCTGGCTGCTCTCTGGGTCTCTGAGCATCTCTGTTTCAGCCACAGAAAGATGGCCAAGGCTCTGTTGGCTGTGACATCCACGGGTGTACAGGTGGATCTGTAACAAGTAACGCAACCAGACTGAGGAGCCACGCCCCAGCAAGACTTCTCTTAGCTGGACACAGGCACTTTCAGAGACCACTCATAGCCACAAAGGACAGAGCTGGGCTCAGGGTGTAATGCTGGGGCTGGGGAGCTGCAGAGAGAGGGGCACTAGACAATTTCACTGAGGGCCTCCACACCTTGCTCACCAGGACACAGGCAAAGCAGGGTCCTGCCCTGCTTGTAAAGGTGAGACTTAACCTAAAGGCCAGAGTTGAGGGAAGCCCAGCAGCCCAGTGAGCCAATAGCGGTGACAGCGATGGACCACAGGGAAAGGCAGCCTGGGGCACAGTGCGAAGAGCCATGTGTCTGGACTACCTTGCTGAGGAGGGTACACTGTTCCTGCTGACTGGAGATCAGGCGTCGCCACCTAAACCGCAGCTTTCCCATCAGCCATTCCACTAGTCGGAGATCCACCGGACTCTCTGTTTCCACATGGGGTGCAGGATGACCAGGGCTGGCCAGGACCTCATAATGGAGAGAGAACAAGAGTCAGCCCTGCTATACACCCCATCTCATCCTAACGGAAGGACCAGGACAAGGAGTTATGCTGCTAGCACAGGATCAAGCCTCTATATCCTCAGCCGGGAAGCTGGATGAGCCTTTTTGAGGACTGCACCAAGGGCAGATACCATGTGACTTGGGATGGGGGTTTCTGGGCAAAGCTGGGCTGAGACACCCTCACTACATACTCACCTCACACTGGGGCAACTGATCACCCAACTGCACACGGGTCTGGGCAAGCAGCTGCTCAAGCAAAGGTCCTCGTGCCAGGAGCCAGGACAGGGCCAGCAGCAGTTCCCGGCTTCCCTGAGAATTGCCCGCAGGAAACTGTACCAGCGCAGACCTGGGGTAGCCTTGGGAGCCCAGTGCTGACTTCACCACACGGGCTTGGGCCTCTGGAATAGGAAATCGCCAGCTCACGGGGTGCCAACTTGGAGATGTCCCCTGGATCCTTCCGGGGACCTGGGAGCACCCCTAAGCTGAGAACCCGCTCAGAGTGAACAAAGGAGGCCCAGGAGGCTGGATTTCTGTGATGGGTTGGCTCAGGGTCTAGCCAGTCTCAGAGCCACGGCTAGCCAGGTGAGCAAGGGAAAAAGGGTAATGGAAACCGGGGCTCAAAGAAGTGGGCGGGCTGGAGCTGTCAGCGAGAGGGGGAGGGGCGGGTGCCTGCACTAAGGGGGCATTCGAGTTGAATAAAGAGGGGCAGACAAAGGAGGAGCTTTAATGGGGCGGGACTTACTGAGTTAGGGCAGAACTGGGTCGACCGAGTTGGGGGAGTGGAAACAAGGGCCTTGGGGGCGTGGCTCACTGAGAGGCCCCGGCTTACCTGGAGCAAGGTCGGTCAAGGTATTGTTTGCAGCAAGCGGTGAGAGCACTCGGAAGAGAAGCTGCCAGAGCACTGGAGCCTGCAGCGAAGGAGTTTGTAATCAGCGGATATCAAGGTATCACCTACGTCGGCCCAGGACAAGGCCTTCCCCGCCCCCGGCCGCCTACCCTGGTAGCCTCACCGCCTCTGGACGGTCAAACTTTGCGCGGCGGAAGATTTCGGGGCTGGGCCCAGCGGGCAGGGACCGACTCAGCGCAGCGATAGCCTCAGGCAAGGCCTTGGCCGCCCCTTCCACCCGGCGCCTCCGCCGCCCCATGCAGCCAGCACCAGGCAGTCTCGGATCTCCCGCCCGGCTGGCCAGGATCAGCGACCAATCACGGCTTGGGCTGGGACCCGCCTTCTCCGCCAGGTCCAATGAGCGGTGGCCCTGGCGTTTGAGTGCCTACCAGTCTATCCCGTAGGCAGGCACTTCCGGGGTCCGGTTGGGAGGGGCCTTGGGTTTGCCAACTCCGCCGACTTTGGAACTCACCAATCAGCACCTCCAGCTGCCAACCTCCTAGCAACCTCCCAGGTAGCGCGGGGCTGGAGGGCGCGCATGCGCCCGAGTGTCCCCTGGAGGCGCGGAGGAAGAAGTACGGCTCCACCCAAACACGGAGGCAGGGTCTCCGCGGAGCCGCGCAGGAGCGCGCCGCCAGGGGGCGTCAGGGACCCGCGAGGAGGAGACGCCGAGCCCTGCAAACTGGGTGGGGAGTTCCGGGGGCCACGTCGCCAGAAGTCTCCTGAGAATGCCATCCTCCCTCTCATGTACAGCCCCAGACCTCCTTGTCCCCATTTTCATCCTCCCTCCAGCCACCAGAAGACGAAGCTTTTGAGGGAAATTCTCCACTTTAGATAAGGGTGCGGCCACCTCCTTTAAGGTTGAACTTAAGTTTCGCGCACTACAGGGTCAATCCCGGTAAGCCGTGAGAACCCTGCAAGGAAAAAATGTGGAAGTACGTACACAGCAGCTCCACGACAATGGCAGAATGAACCCAGAGTCCAACCCGGCGAGCGGGGGAAGACGCCCGCACCTCAAGCAGACAGGAATTGTGCTCAGCAATGGGCATGAGGCTGCTACGTGGCCACAACCTTTACCAGAACAGGCTCTGTAGGAAACCGGGGACGAGAGGGCACATTAAGTGCTCCTGTGCGTGTGGAGGAGGGCCGGACAAAGACCGGACGCTGCCTACGGGGATCCAGGGACGCGCCGGCAGGCGGCGAAAGGCTGGGCGGACTGTGGGGGCGGGGGCCTGTACGCTCGAGCGGGCACAAGCTAAGCTTTGTGCGCTCGATGTCACCAGAAATAACTGAGACAGTGGACAGTACTATGTGTGCTCTACATCTCAATAAAGCCGGGAAAGAGGCAGGTGGAGAAGGTGCGGTGCGGAAGAGGAAACTGAGGTGAGAGGGAGGGGCAAAGGACTCTAGACACCTGCCACCTTAACCGCGTCTGCAGGATGGCCACGCCCTCCGGAAGTGCCGGACCGTTGGCCCACCTTTACCTTAACCTCCCCTGTGTGCCTGCTCCCCGCTTTACTCCCTCATATGACATCTTGCTGCAGACTTTTCCTCGCTCATCTGGGTGCCTTCGGCTGCCCTGCCTCGGGGTGTCCTTCCTGGGCCCTTGCCAAGCAGCTAGGGCTGCTGGTGCCAAATGGCCAAGCCCAGTTAGACTCTACCTGCTCCTGCCGCCCCGGGTCTAGGCCTTGCTTCTGCACACCCTCACACTCGCAGCGCGCTGCAACCTTAATTAAACACAAAGACCGCGCAATGTTGGCTATGGTGCCAAGGAACTCCTGATACACCCTTAAGGAGCCCTTTGCCTCTCAAAGCCTCTTTGCAATATTATGCACTTGCCCCGCCTGATCTGCTCGTTCCCACAGGCCTCAGGTTGCTGAGAGTTCACCCCAAGGATGCCCCAGTTGGGAGACATGGAGCTGGGTGCAGGGGGCTGCGATTATGAGGAAGACAGGGTCCTCCAGGGTGAGAGACAACAGGGGAAAGAGAGCTTCTGCCCGTCTCCCACACATGTCTCTTCCCGGTCCTCTGCGGGTGTTGTTGGACACCCAAGACCTAGAGGTCTGTCCCAACACTCACATGCCTCCCATGAGGAAACTCTTAAGATCTCAGGTTGACTCTTCTGCTCCATACTGTTGTCACCTAAAGCATTATAGCCTCTTCCAGAATCGCCCAGTCACACACACACACACACACACACACACACACACACACACACACTTCACTGTAGGCCACTTACAGGACTTACCAACAGCCTAGCAGCCTCATTCTTGCAGTATAGGTGCCAAAGACTAAGACAGGCAAAGCCACAGGGCACTGCTGAGACCTTTGTGGCCTTGTTAAGTCCAAAAGGGTCTTGGATGGCCAGTGGCATGGGGGAAGGGGAAGCTGAAGGTTGCCTAGCTCTACAAGAATTTCCAGAAAGCCCTTTCTACTACCACAGAGCCAGCCCTCAACTTCTATTAGAGCACCAGGCCACCCAGGGCATTCCTGGGCAGGGGGGAGGGCAAATATGGATGTGGTATCTGTTGAGCAGCTGCAGACCATCAACCAGGGTACACTTCTGGGGACAGGGTAGGGTTGCAGGAAGTGGAAATGGAATAGGCAAGAAGTCCACACAACTCCCCCGAAAGAATCTCAAAAAGGGAACCATACCAGCTCCCACTGATTCACCCTCTGAACTGTGGCCAGCCCCACCCATTCCCAGGCTCCATGTTCCTGCTGACCCTGTTGGCCCCAGGGCCTCACCCCAGGCCAGAACCACTAAGGGCTACAGGAACTTCATGGATCCTGAAGTTAGCGGTAGATCTGAACTCCTGCTCCCCCAAAGGATAGTGGGCAGCCATGTCTGCAGCAGCAGAAAAAGCAAGTGCCCTGCATCAGGCCTGGAGTTGAGGCTCCCACTGCCGCTCCCCTCCAACACACACTGGTAGACAAGAACACAGGTCTTCCAAAAGATCAGGTTTATTAAGGGCATGAAGGGCTACTGAGAACCCCTGCTGTCTCGGGTTAAGGCCTGGCATGTGCCTGGGCGGGTAGGGGGGGTTTCCACAACCTGTAAGGAGAAACAGACAAAAGTGAGCACATCTCCAAGTTTTGTTATTTACTCCACTAGGGCTGACCCTATCCTGTAGAGGGGTGGACTGGGTGGGATTGGAGATAGGGCTATAGTACCTGGGTCTACTTGAAAGTGTGGCTCTCAGCTCCACCTCTCCCAAAGCCTGAAAACAAAACAAAAAAAAATAAAAAAAATAGGAGGTCGGTAGGTTGGGGGAAGGGGGCCAAGTGAGATGGGAGGCCTGTTAGGGAAGAGGTCCAACCACATACCTTTGGGCCCAAACATGGCTGAGTAGCAGGGATGGTTGCAGTAGGGCTTGCCTTCATGCTACAAGGAGAAGAAGATGAGGGGGGCTGTCATCCCAGCCCCCCACTGCTCCCCCCTCTGCCCCCTAGCAGTCCCTTACCTCGGCATGGCCCCCGGAGGTCAGTGTCTTCCCACATTTCTCACACTTCAGGCAGGGCCGATGCCAGTCCTTGCCTAGGGATGTCACTCGCTCAGCTGCAAAAGCACAAACCCACTGAGACACTGGGGGCCTGCACGCCCTCTTCTGCTGCACACACATCTAGGCTTCATTCTCCCAATGTGGTAGCCCACCCTGGGTCCCCAGATTGCCCCTGTGCTCCATAGAGGAGCAATCCTGCGGCTCGAACCAGAAGGGTTGCCTTAGTGGAGGGATATTCTCTCTCCCTCTCTCTCTCTCTCTCTCTCTCTCTCTCTCTCTCTCTCTCTCTCTCTCTTCCCTCCTCTTCTCTCCTCTCCCCTCCCCTTCTCTTCTCTTCCCCCCACCTCAGGTTCTTTGAGACAGGGTTTCTCTGTGTAACAGCCCTGGCTCTTCTGGGACTCACTTTGTAGAGCAGGCTGGTCTTGAACTCACAGAGCTCCTCCTGCCTCTGCCTCCCAAGTGCTGGGACTAAAGGAGTGGGCCACCCACCCCACCCCAGCTCATTGGTGGGGCATGTCCAAGCGCTACCACAGGGATGTGACCCCCGAGGGCTTGTAGCGCTGAACAGGAGGAGGCCTTCAGACTTGAGGGACAAGGCATAGTAGTGTTGGAGAGCAAGTCTGGAGGGACTAAGGCTAGGTCGTCCGGGTTAAGTCCTCTGACCTCCGAGCTCACCCTTCTCCACGGCGGGGACGAAGGGACTTTACTTAATCAAACACCCTCTTATGGGAGCCCTAGGGCGCGCGAAGAGCAAGAAAATGAGCACACCGGAGATCGCACCCCCGGACGTGGTTTTCCGCGTCTGTTTCTACTTAGCGTTGGGAGGGGCCGCCTCAGTCCTGCGTTCCTTCCTACCCCGCGGGGACCCCGCCCAGGGCACGCAGAGAGAAGGCAGGAGAGACAGACGGATCCAGGGGCGACGGTCACCGAGAGTGGGGGAGACCCAAAATCATGGGCGTCATGGAGACCTGGAGACCCGGGGCAAGGAGGCTAGGAGACCGACCCCAAAAACATAAGACAGCGAGTGGGCACAGATGTCGGTTCCGTTTAACACCAAGTTGTCCCTCAAACCCCGGACAAGGTCCATGGGTTCGATTCTAGGCGATGCCCGGGACTCTAGGCACTCCCGCCCACCTGAACAACCCAGCACTGTCCGCCTCCGGGCCATGCTTCCGCGTACTGCCTGGGGTGCGCCCGCGGGCATGTGGAGAGAGGCTGGGACACCCAAGCATGCTCACCGAAATACACCTCCTTGTCGCACTTGGGGCACTTCGGCATGGCGGAACTTGGTCCTGCACAAGCGGCTGCAATTAGAAGGAAATAGGTTGTAGGCTCTGGACTGGGTGGCGGCTGCCTGGTCCGCGCTTTTCAGGGACCCCGAGGCCCTGCCCTTTAAGGCCCCGCCCCTGCCCCGCCCCCTGAGTCCGGGACTTGGACCCCTGGGATCTCTGATCCTGACCAACTGGCCAAGAATGGTCATCTGGCCCATGCTCGCCTCTGTCAGGACAAACTGGCCAAGTGCCATGCAGGGGCACTGGGTCTTCTGGGGACCCTCTGAGGAGCCGGGCAGCTCCTGTGGGCCTAGGCCCCGCCCCCTGCCTGGGGCAGGGCAAGCCCGCGGTCCTGAATAGGGGACGTTGGGTCCTCCCCTCGAAAGAAGAAGCGCCCTATCAGGGTCACCCTGCTCCTTGCACCTGCGAGAGCTTGCAGGAGCCGGGGTGGGCACAAGAAACTTCTGAAGTTCAGATAAAGCCGGGCGTGGTGGGATTGCCTGTCCTGCTAAAACTGGTGAGGCCAATCTGGTCTCTACGGTTAGACCCTGTTTCAAAATACACACACACAAAAAAAAAAAAAATAAATAAATAAAAGTAAAACTAAGCGCAGATAGATGCAAAATATCATTCAAAAATTCTCCACGTATTTTGACGCTGCCTTCTCCGAGAAACAGAGTTGAGAGCACAGAGTCTCAGCCTTGTAGCCCAACCCCTCCCAGCCTTTCCCAGATCTAACCCACGCAGACGCCAGCAGGTCCACCCTGGCCAGACGCAAGTGAACACCCTGACCTTTGCCAGCTGACTGGACTGCAGCCACAACTTCACCAGGGGAATTCAGAAGAGGGGACTTCTGAATTCAGGAAAAGCCCTTCCTGCCACAGGGACTTCAGAATCTAAGTTTGAGGACCCATCAGCTTGAGGTTGGAGAATAGAGGTCAAGGCAAGGAATGCGGGGTGAGGCCACGCCCAGGTCGCCTCCCTGATGAAGAAGAACAGTCCTTATCTCTGGGTGAAGGAGATCAGCGGTCCAAGTCCACCGCCCAGCTAAGGAAGAGGCTGAGGCGTGATTGGTACCAGGTAGAGACTGGACTACCCCTACAGTAAATAAGGGGGCGGGGGCGCTTGCACTGACCCAGGGAACCTGGTTTCAGAGTGCTCTG